CCACGCGCGGGTCCATGCCCCCCTCGAAGAAGCCGCGCCCTGGCCCCCGAAGCCACTGGCACGGTCCCCACGAGCGTCGACACGCATTGTCCGGGGACAAATGCCTTCCTTTCAAGCTTGACCTCATACGCACGCGTGCATCCACGTGTGCTCTTCCGATCTGGGTCCATGCCCCCCTCGAAGAAGCCGCGCCCTGGCCCCCGAAGCCACTGGCACGGTCCCCACGAGCGTCGACACGCATTGTCCGGGGACAAATGCCTTCCTTTCAAGCTTGACCTCATACGCACGCGTGCATCCTCCTCCGGCTCGCCCGAGCGCCCCTCCCCCTTCCGCAGAGCCGGCCGTCCCTCCCCGACCTGACCCCCTCGTCCTGCCCTTCTCTCTCTCTCTCTCTTTCCGTAGCGTGCGCACGTTCGCGGGTGTTCACGGAAAAATGCCGCCCGCCGTGGGCGAAGGGAAAAGCGCCGGGCACAGTGTGACCTGAGCATCACGGGTGAGATAAACCCACTCAGTTACGAAGGTGCGGACGCCACCCTTCCGATTAAGGGCCGGCACTGCAGATCGGAAGAGCGTCGTGTAGGGCGCGGGTGTTCACGGAAAAATGCCGCCCGCCGTGGGCGAAGGGAAAAGCGCCGGGCACAGTGTGACCTGAGCATCACGGGTGAGATAAACCCACTCAGTTACGAAGGTGCGGACGCCACCCTTCCGATTAAGGGCCGGCACTGCGCGGGGGAGCGCGGCCACGGGGAACGGCGGACGAGGACAACGCCCACGGGAGGAGCGCTCCTGGAGGGGGCCCCCAGCAGCAGAGTCCGGCCCCCCCCCCCCCCACCGTGCCAAGTACGCGGCCGCACACAAGGTGGCAGAGCGCCACGAGAGAAGGTATTTGTATATTTTCTGAGAGGGGAGAGAAACAGAGAGAGAGAAGGGGATTGTCCCACCATGGTGCGCGATGGTACGGAGAGAATGTGCCCTCTTCTTCAAGGGGGGAACGTGTGCTCTTCCGATCTCCCCCCCCACCGTGCCAAGTACGCGGCCGCACACAAGGTGGCAGAGCGCCACGAGAGAAGGTATTTGTATATTTTCTGAGAGGGGAGAGAAACAGAGAGAGAGAAGGGGATTGTCCCACCATGGTGCGCGATGGTACGGAGAGAATGTGCCCTCTTCTTCAAGGGGGGAGAGGATGGAGAGAGGGGAGGCACACACACACACGCAGAGGCACGCACGCACCGTGATGGACGCGCGCGCACAGGTGGAGGGAGAGAGGGGGAGGGACCATGGGTGTGTCAACTGATGAGGACCCGCCTCGCCCCCTCACAGGCGGGCGAGATATGTGCGGAGGCCCACGCGCGTGAATCGGCCGTCCCTCCCCCCCTCCCCGGTGCCCGGGCTGGCTGCCCCCCCCCCCCTCCGAGATGGAGGAAGAGAGAGAAAGAGGAACCATAGGGCCGGCAGAGGGATGGGGAGGAGAGCGACCGACACACGCACATACACATACACATGCACACACACGCATCGAGAGAAGGGAAAGATACTCAAGGAAGGTCTAGGGCGGGCGCGCACACGCGCGCGCGCGCGCGCGCGGGGGGGGGGGGGGGGATGGAGATGCACATAGCCACCAGGGGGTGCCCCTGCGTGTTTGTGCTTCTCGCACACGCACATACACCCCCGCGCGCGCGCGCGCGGGTGCACACACCGGAGAAGGGCCATATATCACAGACCGCCGCTTACTGCTCGCGACGGCGAGGAGCGCAGCGGATGATCTGGTCCACGCGGAGGATCATCTCGGCGGCCTCGGCGGCCGAGGTGAGCACGGCGCGCTTCATCTTGAGCGGCTCGCAAATGCCGAGGGCCTGCATGTCGCCCGGGCCGCCGACATTGATGTCGAGCCCGGCGCGGTGGTTGCCGAGGTTGTGCATGGCGCGCAGCTCCGACACGATGAGCGAGCTGTCGAAGCCGGCGTTGTCGGCCAGGATGGCCGGCATGCGGCGCAGGGCACGGGCAAAGGCCTCGGTGGCCAGGCTCTCCTTGCCGGAGGTGGTGGCAGCCGCCTCATCGACGGCCTTGGCCATGAGCATCTCCGAGGCACCGCCACCGAAGACAACCGCGGTCTCGAGGACAGTCTGCGACAGGACGGCCAGGGCGTCGTGAATGGAGCGCTCCACCTCATCCAGCAGGGCCATGGTGGCACCGCGCAGGACGATGGTGCAGGCCTCGCCGGCGGCACAGCCGCTGAAGCGGATCAGCTTGTCCTCGCCGATGATGACCTGGTCGATGAGACGGCACTCGCCGAGCTTCACCTTGTCCGGGTTGTCGAAGGTGGAGGTGATCTCACCGCCGAGGACGGAGGCAAGGCGCTCGACACCGGAGAAGTCCGCATGCTCGACGGTCATGATGCCGGCGTCGCTGAACAGCTGCTCCGGCCAGTTGTAGACGAGCTGGCGATTGATGAAGCAGTTGATCCCGTGGGCCTTGATCTTCTCGACCTTCTCCTTCATCTTGTTCTGTGGGCGCGTGCGGGGGAGGGGGGATCTGTGTGTCAGTCGCGAGATCTCTCTCTCTCTCTCTGGGGGCGTGTGCCCTCATTGAATGAGGAGTGTTTGCAGAGGGGGAGAGGGGGGGGACGGTGTACGCACGCGCTCAGCCCGCTCAATCTCAGCCAGACCGGCGGTGCTGTCGACCTTGACACGGGCACCGAAGACCTTGACCTTGTCGGTGTCCATGGCTGCGAGAGGGGAGGGGAGGGGAGAGAGGGCACACGGTGGTGGGGTGGAGGGGGATTAGCAAAGGTGGCCGGAGAAATGCCAAAGAGGGCGAGAGCACCGAGGAGGATCGCCAACGCCAGGAGAGGGCCCCCCCCCCCCCGGCCGGCCGGCCGGCCGCCGAAGGGGCATGCCAAGTCATCGAGGAAAAAAAAAGACGCACAGGTGTTGGCAATCAGGATCTTGGCATTCTCCAGGCGCAGAGGCTGGCCGACACCGATCTTCTTGTCGAGGATGAAGCCCTCGTCCAGGTAGGAGTCCTCCATGCGGCCACCGGGCTTCTTGATGATGTTGATGAGATCCAGGTTGGGGGTCCCCTTCAGGCGGAGGACGGCATCCACACAGAGCTGCGCGAAGTGGTCCTTCGACTGGGAGACAACCTTGGAGGAGAGGGTGGTCCGGGCGATGTTGAGCAGATCATTCTTGAAGGCAACGTCATTCTCCCTGCGGACGGGGGGGGGGGAGGGAGGAGCATCAGCAGGGGCCAGCGCCGGAAGGAGAGGAGGAGCGGGTCAGCGTGTGCCATGCCACCGGGCGGGAGGAGCCAAAAACCGGGGGGGGGAGGGAAGAGCGGCAAGAAGGGGTGGGGCCATAAGGTGCGCTCGCGCGGGCGCGGACGCACTTGTTGTCGACGGCCGACTCGGCGAGGGCCTTGCGCGCGGCGTGCACGGCCACACGGAAGCCGGAAACAATGGTCTGGGGGTGGATGCGGGCATGAACCAGCTGCTCGGCCTCACGGAGGAGCTCCGACGCCAGGACACACACGGAGGTGGTCCCGTCGCCGACCTCGTCGTCCTGGACCTTGGACAGCTCGACCAGGATCTTGGCGGCCGGGTTGTCCAGGTGGATGGACTTCAGGATGGTGGCACCGTCGTTGGTGATGACCGGCTCGGTGTTGGAGCCCATGTCGGAGAAGGACAGCAGGATCTTGTCCATGCCCTTGGGACCGAGGGTGCTCTTGACCAGGTCGCCGATGGCGATGGCGCCGACGAAGTTCGACTATGCGCGTGTCGCGGGCGGGTGTACCAAGAGGAGGGGGAGGAAGATGAGCAACGGCCGGACGGGGGCGGGGGAGAGGGGAAGAGTGGCATGTGCGCGGG